AATATATAAAGAACCCATGTATCTCTGTAGCAAAGAAGCTAATCACCTGATTTTAAAATGGGCTAAGAACTTGAATAGACATTTCTCCAAAGAGGATCTCCAGATGACTCACTGGTATGTGAAAAACTGCTCAACGCCACTCATCATCAGGGAGATGCACATCAAAACCACAATGTGATACCACCTCGCATCTTCCAGGATGGCTATTATTTAAAAAAAAGAAAAAAGAAAAAAGAAAAAAACCCACAACACAAGTGTTGGTGAGGATACAGAGAAATTGGAATGCTTGCACACTGTTAGGGGGAATGCAAAATGCATCCACTACGAAAAACAGTATGGAGGTTCCTCAGAAAATTAAACATAGTACTACCATGTGATCCAGCAATCCCACTTCTGGGTTTATGTCCAAAGAAAGTGAAGTCAGGATCTGGAAGAGATAGTATTAGCCCGGTGTTCACTGCCGTGCCATTCACAGCAGCCAAGGTGTGACAACAACCTTCACGTGGTATATGCACACAAGAGGAAACGGTTCCGCCTTTACCAAGAAGGGTGTTCTGGTTGTGTGACAATGTGGGTGAACCCTAAGGACGCTGGGCTCAAGTGAAATAAACCAGTCACAGAAAGATAAAATACTCCATGATTGCACTTACATGAGGCATCTAAAATAGTCCGACTCATAGAATCCCAGAGCGAAATGGTGCTATCCAGCGGCTGGAGGGACAGAAAAATGGGGAGTCACTAACCTGTGGGCATCCAGTTTCAGGCAAGCGAGACGAATAAGCTCTAGCGGTCTCCTGTCCAGCAGCCAGCAATACTGCATGTGCACTTAAGGTTTCCTCTGAGGATAGATCTCATGGTGACTGTTCTTAGCACACTAAAATAAACTTTTTGGAATCTAAAGACATGGGCACCCGAGTGGCTCAGTCGGTTAAGCATCCAACTCTTGATTTTGGCTCAGGTCATTGATCTCACAGTTCTTGAGTTCAAGCCCCGCATCAGGCTTCCTGCTGACAGCACGGAGCCTGCTTAGGATTCTCTCTCTCCCCTCTCTCTGCCCCTTCCCCTCCTCAAAGTAAATAAATTTTTAAAGATAATAAAAATAAAATATAAAAAGAGAGAAGTGTTCATTCTCTGGGGCACTCTTTTTGAAGTTCTTTTTGAAGCTGAGAAAACTCAACGCCCTCACTAGCCAAACCACTGTTATTTAAGAGTCATGCTCCTGGTTCTAGAATCACCTCTGGGAACCCCCACACTATCCCTGATACAGTACCGAGAGACAAAGAGTTAACTTAATGTTAGCAAGCAGCTAGTACATGATGGAAGTCTTAGAGCCACTTCCTCACTTACTCAGTAGCACAACCTTCCAACGTGGGTGTTAGTGAATTCCATTTTACGGATGAGCAAACTGAGGCTTGGAGAGGCGATGGGACGTGGCTAGAGCCAGAATCAGGAGCTGGGTCCGTCTGCCCTTTTACTGACACCCTCAGCAAACAGCACGTGTTCTGACCTCTCCCCTCATCCCTGCATCGACCAGCCACGTCCATCCAAAGGGCCAGGATTCTATCCAGGGAAGAACCGAGTCTTTCTGGAACTGTGGTTCTTTGTCTTTCCTGACCAAACCCAAGACGATCCTGGAGTATTTCTGAAGCAGAATGAATTCTCTGCCCCAGGTCATGTTTGCACTGTTAGCCTGTCCTTCCAAAATGGACGGGGCAAACATCAAAGCATTCAGTGCCGCCTTTTATTAGTAACTTGGCCGTATTTTATGGCTTGAGGGTTTGGCTTTTACTTCCCAGGAACTGCTCAGAACCAAGAGAACTTGGCATTGTCAGGGCATTTCCATAGGCCTGGTTATCCCTTCCCTCACTGGTCCTTCTGGAGCCTCTGCTCATTTCAGCAAGGAGCACCCTGGGAGGCCCCCTGTAGGCGGAGGCCATGGCCACCTCAGGGCCCACCGTGCTGTCCCCAAACAGGGCCACTTGGCCACATCCAGGCCTTTTCCTTCTGTCATTGATCCAGTGAATACTTTCAACCAGGTATGAGGGTCTCCCCAGCACGATCTCGGCATGAGGAACAGCCACGCTCCCTGCCCTCTGTAGAGCTGGGGTAGAGGAGCTGGTGTTGGCCAGTCCTGGGCTCCCAAGTCCTACTTCCTTCCCCAGAGCTTCCATCTGCCCATCCTTGGAGCAAGCCGGCCCTCCCAGGATTACATGGAGTGATGCAGACAAGTGCATCTCAGGAGCCGTCGAGGGCTGAGCCCACATAAGGGAGCGGTGGTATAGCCATGTGGGGCGGCTGTGGGGTTTCTGCTCACTCAGCAGCCGGGATACGCCACGTCCAGTGTGTAATCAGCTCCTTCATTATGTGGTTCTCACTGTAAGAACTGCAGGGTTTCAGAGGAATGACGGAGCCACAGGGTCCCCAAGGTGGCAGCCCATCCCAGGAAGAATGACTACTCCAAGCCAGAGGAGAAGGAGGTCAGGAGCCAGAGGCGGGGGAGGGAAACTCCAAGCCAGAGGAGAAGGAGGTCAGGAGCCAGAGGCGGGGGAGGGAAGTGCCCACTGTCTCCCTTGTGGGCTGTCTGCCTCTGACCTGGAGAAGATCAGTTCCCGGGGATTTGCTGCAGAGCGGGAGCTACTTCAAGGCTAACAAAATCAACAAACCACAAATACCAGGCCCCATATGGACAGTGGCTGGGGACGTCACCCTACGAAAAGATGTCCACCCACTTCGCATGTGTTCTCCCACTTCAGATCCGGGACAGGAGCCCGACTCAAAAGGCGATGCAGGGTCAGCAACCCAAGTAACCATCCTTAGGTGAACGAATAAACAGAAAGTGGCCTATCCTTCTGGTGGAAGGTTACTCGGCCTTGAAAAGGAAGGGAATTCCAGCACACACTACCACGTGGTTGGACCTGGAGGCCGTTAGCTAAGCGAAAGCAGCCTGTCATGAAAGGACAAGTGTACCATCCCACTTACGGGAGGTACTTAGAGTGGTCAGACTCGCAGACGGAATGCAGAATGGTTGCCAGGAGCTGGCAGAAGACAGAACCGTCTAATAGGTACAGGGCTTCAGATTCGCAAAACAGAGTTCTGGGGTTGGCTGGTGGTGATGTTTGCACAACATGGCAGATGGACTTAATGCCCCTGAACCGTGTGCTTACAGATGCTTAAGATGATGGGCCGCCTGGCCAGTTCAGTCAGGACAGCGTGCAACTCTTGGTCTCAGAGTTGTGAGTTTGAGCCCCATGTTGGGCATGGGGTCTACTTTAAAGAAGAAAAAAAAGGTTCAGATGGCAAATTTTATGTGTATTTTACCACTATTAAAACTTTTTAAAAATCGGGAGTGCCCGGTGACTCAGTTGGTTAAGTGTCCACCTTCAGCTCGGGTTATGACCTCGTGGTCCATGAGTTCGAGCCCCCCATCAGGCTCTGTGTTAACAGATTAGAGCCTGGAGCTTGCTTTGGGCTGTGGATTTCCCTCTCTCTCTCTGCCCCTCCCCCACTCACACTATGTATCTCTCTCTCTCAAAAATGAATAAATGTTTTTTAAAAATTGTTTTTTTTAAACTTTTTAAAAATCAGAAAAATAACTCAAAATACTCCCTCCAAGAAAGGTGCAGTTGGAGACCTCCTCTGCATCTGTCTCCCCCTTAGTCCGTCATAGCCCAGAGCAGGGTTGGGGGGTCACTTTGCAGAGGGTGAGTGGGAGGGGGTTTTTAGAGAGCTGTTATGGAGAAAATACATGTCATGTTTCTTTCACACCCAACTCACACGCAGCACGGCAAGGGGGCGCATGAGTCCTGCCTCGCTCCAGAGCATGACTGAGGGGTGAAGTAGCTCACAGGATTGCCTGTGCTGCTTAAATCTGCGCAAAGGCCCAGGCGCCCTCCCCGCACACACATCCTTAATAAAGTGCGTGCATGGAGCAGCGCTACTGCACGCAGACCTGCATCCTCAGGGACTGCCAGTAGGGGCTTAAGTAGATGTGTTAAGCCGAGCTGTTAAGTCATTACGGAGCCATGTCTTAGTTTCAGGCCATTTCATGATGAGGATGTGCCCTATACTGTCTCATACTGGACACAGAAACATGCGGTTCTGGGCACAAAGACGTCTGTTCAGTCATTGAATGGATACGTACTGGTAGATAAATTGGCACAACACCCAGTCCCATATGTGCCCGCCACCCACTCCTTATTTAGTCCGCTGGCACACCTTTGAGGCTCCTTTAACTGATGGGCTGGGGTGGCACATTTATCTGGTTTGATCTTTGAGAGAGAGGAAGAGAGCTAGCAGGAGAGGTGCATAGAGAGGGTGGACAGAGGATCCGAAGCAGGCTCCAAGCTGACAGCAGCTACCCCAATGCAGGTCTTGAACTCACAAACTGTGAGATCATGACCTGAGCCAAAGTCAGATGCTTTACCAACTGGGCCACCCAGGTGCCTCCTTACCTGGGAACTTCTAACCTCTTCCAAATCATAAAGCTGTGCCTTCACTTTAACACCGCAGCTCTGTGAGTTAAGACATCCACGCAGGCGCGTTGGAAACCAGCTAAGCTGGATTCCCCGGTGGGAGCTGGGTCAATAACGTGTGATACGTTTGTGCAGTAGGCACTCAGTATCCAGCAGAGATGAAGTTGTAGAATAGTGATGTGCATGAAGTCCATATTTGGTGTTTTATCTAAGTGTGTGCATACTATTTGTTCAGATATGCCCATACTGTGTGTGTGTGTGTGTGTGTATGTGGCATGCGTGTGCATGTGCATGTGCGCACGTGTGTGTGTGGTCCCCAGGCCAGCAGCAGCACCAGGACATTGTCAGCCACGCACATTCTCAGGCCCCACCACGGATCTACTGAAGCAGATCTGGGGCTGGGCCCCCACTGTCTGTTTGCATGAGCCCCCCAGAGATTCAGATCACACCCAAGCTTGAGAACGCCTGGCCCACTGTGCTCCAGACACCCCCTTCCTCTCCCTGGACTCACTTGTGTCTCTTCTCCAGGCCCTGATCCAGCTGCCCCCCTACATCTCTCAGTGCGATGAGGTGCTGCAGTTCTTTGAGACTAGACCTGAGGACCTGAACCCCCCCAAAGAGTAAGTTGGCGTGGGTACCTCCCCAGAGTGTGCCCTCACAGCCGTCCCTGCCTCCAGGCCGGCCCCAAGAGGAATGGGAATAAAGCAAAGTAAAGATTTTTTCTTAATATGAGAGAGAGAGAGCATGGGAGTGGGAGAGAGGGGCAGAAAGAGAGCGAGAGAGAGAATCCCAAGCAGGCTCCTCACTCAGTGCAGAGCCCGATGTGGGGCTCAGTCCCACAAGTGTTTTGTGCCTCTGAGCTTCTGCTTCCTCATCAGTAGAGTGGGCGTGGCTAACCTTGATCACACCTGGGAGGATTACACACCGCCCTTCCCATGACGGAGAGTCTGGCACATGGCAGGTACTTACCTGGCGATGTCTTCCTGTCTTTAAAGCAGGCTTAGAGGGGAGGAGGGCTGCTGAGGGCCCAGGGGATGGCTCTGGGTTCACAGCAGGCCGGCTCAGGTGGGCCTCGGTTGTTGGTTGTTGGTTTCCGCGGCAATGAACATCAGCAGAAGAGCTGGTCCCTTGGTCCGATTCCTGAAGCTCATACCCAAGTCAGGCCTGAAGACAGAAACGGGTCGTTCCCAGCAGTCTGTAGGGAGACAAGATGGATTCCAGATGGTGTTGGTAAAGGAAGGGTTTTTGCTGCCACGCATGGGAAAACTTGGGACCGTGGCAAGCATGTCACACAGAGAAGCTAATGTGCCTGCATGAGCCCACACATCCCGCTGCTGGAACCCGACAGCTCCCTACTGCCCCTCCCACTGCGGCTGGGGCCGCAAGACAGCCAGCAGCAGCAATCTACGGTAGGCGGGAGCCCGGGTGCTGACATGCAGTACAGCATGGACAGCCCTTGAAAACACCCCCCCCAGAAGGGGGACATCACCGAAAGCCTCTTACCGTATGATTCCATTCGTATGAAACATCCAGAATACACCAGTCGTTAGAGACAGCGAGCAAGTTAGTGTTTTCCAGCCATTGGGAGTGGTGGGAATGGCAAGTGACCGTTTATAGGTCCAGGGCTTCCCTTTGGAAGGATGAACAGTTTCTGGAATTAGATAGTGGTGATGACTGTACAACCTTGCAAAAAATGCTAAAAACCAGTGAGCTCTACACTTGAAAAGAATGAATTTTATGATGTGGGAATTATAGCTCAATTCTTAAAAAATTAGGTAAATCTGGGGTGCCTGGGTGGCTTGGTTGGTTGAACGTTCGACTTCGGCTCAGGTCATAATCTCCTGGTTTGTGAGTTCAAGCGCTCTCTGCTGTCAGCTGGAGCCTACTTCAGATTCTCTGTCCACCTCTCTCTTCCCCTCCCCTGCTTGCTCACGCTCGCTCTCTCTGTCTCAAAAATAAATAAACATAAAACAAAAATTAAGTAGATCTGGGTTCAGCTTGCTACTTACTAGCTGTGTAGGCTTAGGAAAGTTACCTAACCTCTCTGGGTATCATTTTATTCATCTATATCATACGTGTTAGGAGAGTACTTATTTCTAATACTTATTATGAGTATTAAATGAGTGAACTAAAAGTACCTAGCAGGGTACTGGCACAGGGTAATAACATTTAGCTAATGTCATTGTGCCACAACATCTCTCTCAACCCAACCATCCTGTCCCCTCCCTTTTCTCTTTATAACATGGGAAACCTCTTTACCACTGGGATAATTTACGTAAAAAGTATTTGTGAACCCTGATTTGTAATATCGCATTTGTAATGCAGCTGTGTATACATTCTGAGGTGGTTGACAAGTCCAAGGGAATCATTACTCGTTGTTCTGTGTGAATTCTAGCCCACAGTAGTGTTCTGTCTGCCACCATGAGCGAGGTGTGTTTTCTTCACTGCTCTCCAGACTCCTAGCCAGTGTTGGCATGTTTCCCTTACCATTTAGTGCCATGAGCTCTCTGCTTCCTGCATACGGCTCAGGGCACCCCCAGGAAGTGGGACAGGGCCTCTGCAGTGCCTGGTGAGGTGGGCATCAGGTTCAGTGCAACGTGGCAGCCTAATCGTGCTTTTATACTGCGTGCCGCCTACCTCAGCTCCTCCCTAGGTCCCCCTGGTCTACAAACAGACTGGAGATGCCAGTCCCGCGGGCACCGGAGCACTTACCAGGCAAACTGAGAACATGAAAAGGAATTCTTTCTTTTTTAAAGAGTCTGTGTCCCTGGGGCTGACTTCTATTTTCTTCATTCACTGGAGATGATGCAGAATGGAGAATCTCAGTTTCCTAACAGAATAACTCCTATTTCTTTATAACAGTACTGACTCGTGGTTCTCTCCCACCCCTTTCTTTCCATGCAGGGAGCATGTTGGGAAAAAGAAATCTGGTAAGACAATTTTTCCATTTTCTCCCATTCATTCACTGTTGCGCATGCCCCGACTTCGCACCTACGATTGCCTGTCCCTGGGCACTGCCTGAAAGATGCAGCATGTGACTGTACGGGTGGATGGGTGGGTGGATGGGTTGATGCTTGACTGTTGATACCCCAGCCTGTTTTGCAAAAGCAAGTATTAGAGGTTGTTGCATCCTACATCAAAAAGTTAGAGACCGACATCTGACCAGCTGTAGGGGGTCAAATACCTTTATTCTGCTGGAGACAGAGGAATGTGGTGACTCACAGCCAAGAGCCTTCTCCTCAAGTGTTGGAAGGGATCAAAAAAGGAGGGACGCTGGGTCTTAAGGAGTGAACGGGAGCTTTCCACAGAGCGAAGGGGCAGCTGGGGCTGCGGGGAGGGGGCGCAGGCGGGGCCAGCCTCGGGGCCACCGCTGTTTTTGCTGGGCGAAGAGGGCCGCTCCTTCAGGCACCTCTGGCACGCACTCCCTTCTCCCGGGGGGCCAGTTCCCCTCCTTCCCAGCACCCTGCTCCCACGCCTTGGAGCAATGATGGGAAAAGAGAAGGTGGGGATTTAGGTGTGCACGGAGGAATGATTGAGCCATCGCAGGCCTGGGGTTGATAACTTTAGATTCACAGTAGTCCAGCCTTTTCTTCTGCAAACCCAGGATTATCTCTCCCCTCCCCCCCCCATATCTGCAAAGTCCCCCTCCCACGACACCACACCTGGAGCCAGCAGGGTCCTCGGAGCTTCCAGAATTCCAAGTTCTTTTATGTATCTAGGACTCCAGAAAGTGTGAGGGCATTGATAATGCTGTGGGGAGAGAGGGGCCAAGCAGAGATCCCAGAAGTGAAAAAGGATGCCTGCCCTCCTCTTGTGGCCCTCCATTTCCTCATCTGTAAAATGGGGATAATAATAGTAATCTATCTTGGAGGATTATCATAGGGTTTATCGTAATATGTATAAAGCACTCAGAACAGCATATTTTAAGGGATACATATTTGCTGCTATCTTTAGACTGCTACGTTTAACTCCAAGCACATGGGTGCCCCTGCCCAGTATCAGTAGAAAGTCCAAATTCAGTAGCGCCGGTCCCTTTACTGCCCCCTGGGTACAGGGCCTGTGGTCAGCTTTACAAGGCCCAGGCCATTCTAGCGAGGAAAAATAGAGAGGAACTGGGTCTATGCCTCAAGGTCTGGAGCCTGGAATGAATGCCTGCCTTTCCCCAGCCGGTCTGTTTACAGCTGCACTTTGCATTTAATAGGTACCGGCCAGACCGATGGCATCCTGTTCAGGCTACGCGTGGTCCTTGGGCTCTGAGGATAATGATACGTTTCTTAGAAAAGAACAGAGAGGAGAAGAACTCTTGGGCTGGTCACAAGAGTTTCTGGCTCCGAGTGTGCAGAGACTTTGCTGCAGGGAATGGCTAAAGGAGGAAAGGAAAGAGACAGCTCTAGTTTGCAAAAACCAAAGTGTCCGGTCAGAACAGGCTTGATGAGGGGACTGGTCTGGAAGATGGAAGAGGCTCTAATTTGTGGTGATGACTGTTACATCATTCACCTGCAATGATGGGGGGTGGGTTTATTTATAGTTCAGCTGGATGGAAAATAGCATTTTTCTTTTCAGACTAAGGACCCATACTAGGATGAGCCTTATTTTTTTAATCTGAGCTTTGACCTCTTCCTCTATGTTCGAAGTAACCTTCTTGATTGACTGTGAAAGGGATTTAAGGTTGACAGCCCCAAACCCAGAGATTTCTGTGCCGGAACTCCGAATTGGAGAAAACTCAACTGTCTCCAGAATTGGCCAGCAGACTTTGGCTAATGTAGTCTCAACTTCTGCTCATCTTGTAAGAAAAAAAAAATCCTCCCACCAAAATTTAAGAGGTCATCTGATTATTTAAGGAGCATCTTTCGTCTTGATTTTTCTACCCCTATTGAAGTATTCTCTGATTTACTGACTCTTTCAGCAAGACTGGCAGTATGGGCAGTTTCTGAAAGGAAAATCCCACCTTATCATTACTCACTATATTTTGCTGTAACTAAAAAACTGTTGACTGAGTGGCTTCAACAACAGCAGCTTATTTCCTCCCAAGTATGGATCCTGGAAGTCTGAGGTCAAGGTGCCTGCATTGTCAGGTTCTGGAAAGAGCCCTCTTCCTGGTTTCTAGACTGCTGCCTCCTCACTGTGTCCTCCCATGGCAGAGAGAGAGCAAGAACAAGCCCTCTGATGTCTCTTCTAGTAAGGGCGCTATACCCATCACGGGGGCCCCACCCTCATGAGCTCATCCAAACCTAATTCCCTCCCAAAAGCCCCACCTCCAAATGCCATCCCGTGGTAGTTAAAGCTTTAGCATATGAATTTCAGAGGACAAAATTCAGTCCATGGCAGTTATCTTTAAAATTTGAAACATGTTGGAGCCCCTGGGTGGCTCTGTCGGTTATGCATCCACCTTTGGCTCAGGTCATGATCTCGCAGTCTGTGAGTTCGACCTCCACATCAGGCTCTGTGCTGACAGCTCAGAGCCTGGAGCCTGTCTTCGGATTCTATGTGTGTGTCTCTCTTTCTGCCCCTCCCCTGCTCTCTCACTCTCTCTCTCTCAAAAGTAAACATTAAAAAAACTTTTTTAATAAAATTCAAAACATGTCATCATGAATCAAAACATTCCAACTAGGAAAATCTGCGGTAGATTAGGCACTGTACCTCGAGAATGTTTTGCAGCACTTCCTCAGTGTCAAAACCGCCCTTCTACTGTCGAATCTCCTCCTTTATGCTGACCTTTTCCTTCTCTTATTCCTGCTGGACCACAGGAATGACCCTCCTTACCTAAGAATACTTTGATTTCAAACTTGCAGCTCCTAGTACTTAGCTATCTGCATTGACTTGAGGTACTGCTGTTACTATGCATTATAGAGCTTGGGTGCAGTATCGCTGTCCACCAGTAGGTGTCTCCACCTAGAGCCTAACTGGCCTGAAGCCTAGCGTGAGGATTCTAGCAGTCAAACCAATGAGGTTTTCATCAGCTGAGTGCTCTGGTAAAATGAAGGCAAAAGAACTGGTGCTGGAAAAGCAGCCCTGTGCACTTCCTTCTGAACAACTTCATGGCAGGATACTTCAGTGTAAAAGCTGCTGCAGAAGAAGGAGATAATAAGACTCAGACGCGGCCCCTGAGCGAGTCTTGGAAGGAGTACCAGCCCTGAGCCCTCTGCCAGTACTAGATCTGCTCCTGGCCAGCCCAGAGTCCTAACCCTTGCCCTTTGACCTCCTCAGTTCCTGGAACTGTGTCTTGTTTGCAGTGAGTCCCATGACTTTCTGATCCTGTCACTGCTGTTGGTTCTCCCAAATCCCCTTGGCAGCCTGGTTGAGAGAGTTGGTGCAGAAATGAATAGATCAGTCCGTTGATCAGAATCCTGAAAACTCTGTGGCACAGCTGTACCACCATCAGTTGTTAAAACTGGGTGGCAGCAATTAGCTTTTTGGACAGAGTAACCAGACTTAACTGGGCCCTTTGACTTAATCAAAGCTCTATTCCTACTTGTAGGCAAGAAGGAACCGTCTTTGCCTGCTCATAAGACGGACAGGTCCCTCTCGTAACTGTGTGCTCTTAGGGCGAGGCCTGGAGCCATGCAAAGCAGAAGAATTTCTAGAAGTTCCCCTTCATCGTTAGTCGCTTCACTCCACAAATATCCATTAAATGTCTGTGCCGAGTGCCAAGTGAACAAGACAGACGCAGCTGTTGATTACGTGTTTACTGAGCACCTACTGTGTACCTGACAGGGCTCTAGGGCTCTAGGCCCCCAGGGAATGCAAAGGTAAACAAGATGTAGGAAGCGTTTTTATGGTCTGGTAGAACAAATAGGTGGATAAAGAAAATGAAGTGCTGCAGGCACGGAAAAGGAGGGCACTTTAATTTCTTTCTGAGGAGGGACATCCTCCAAAGGTGAGTTTTAGAATATTCATTTCCCCCCCCGCTTCAGATGCTCATTGAGCCTGGTAGGTACTGTCCACATTCTGGGCCAAGTGTTGGCAAACTTTTTCTCTGAAGGGCCCAGATAGCAAATATTTCAGGGTTTGCAGGCCACATACAGGCTCTGTCAATAATCATAATAATTTTTCCTCTTCCTCTCATTCTCCTTTACAACCCTTTAAAAAATAAAACAACTTTCCAAAATCCCCTTGCACCAAAGCAGACCACATGGGCCTGCGAGCCTTTAGGCAGGGGGTCCAGCACTAAACAAGAGCCTGAGTCCCTGCACTCACAGGGCTTATGTTCTAGAATGGGAAAACAGATGAGAAAGCTAGTGAATACACAGACTCTTGTGATTTTTTTTAAAACTCTGTGGCAAAATAAAATTAGGCAAGGCAGTGCAGCTTGGTCCGAGAAGATCCCATTGATAAGATACCACTTGAGCCGGCATCTGATCCATGCAGTTCCCTGTGCCACGTTGGGGAGTGGAGAAGAAATGATCAGAGAGATTAGGCAGGCCCCCTTGGGCCACTGGGCTTTTCCTGACTGAGGTAGAGCCATGGTAGGGTCTTGACCTTTGGGGAACATGATCTTACGCATCTTTTGAAAGTATCACTGTAGCTGCTGTGTCAAAAACAAATCATAGCAGTCAAGGCTGGGGCAGGAGACCAGTTAGGAGGCTCAAATTAGGCGGGTGCATGTGAATGCAGAGGAGAGGAAGAGGCATCCTGAAAACAGCCTATGCTGTTTTACAGATACACCAGGGATGACAAAGCCAAAATCCAAGGCCATAAAGGCCAGCAGAGTCCAGATTGTAGAGAACCTGAGGGCACTGGGGAGCCACAGCAGATGATGAGCAGTGGGTGGCATAATCAGAGTAGCATTTTTGGAGCAAGCACTCTGCAGTATGGAGGACAGAGTGGAGGGGCAGGATAGAGACCAGTTACAGCTGCCATTTCCCCACCACCACCACCCCAAACAAGCCTCATTCCATCCCTCGTGCAGAGGATGTGAGCAAAGTCAGGTGACAAAGCATGAGAAAGGTCCACAGGCATCAAACCTGTGGCTCTGTGACAAAGAATCCGGACCTGCCTCCAGGGGGCAGCAGAGAGCCCTCCAGGAGTGAGCGCAGCTGCACTGTGACTCCACCAGCCCCCTGACCTCCTGCCTGGGAGACCCCGGGCACTTCCTGAGAGTGCACCTGAGCAGTGGTCACAAGTTCCAACCTGACTGTGGACTGGGTACTTTTCTCCTGTCTTTCCAGTTCTTTCTCTCAAGTTAACGCCCAGGGAAGCCCAGTTGGCCTGGGTACGGCCCACTTGAGGGCCAGATCAGAGGAGTAGCTTCATTGCTGGGATTGTGATTCCCAAGGCAGACTATATCCTGGGGTAGAATCTACAGACCTTGGAGTCTCTGCCTCTTGCATCCCCTGGGGAGATTGTCCCTGGCTCGCAGTGGCCCGGAGCCTCTAGCAAGCCAGCATCTACCTCCACCCATTCACGTGATAGGACCTTTGTGGGCCCAGCACCAGGTGGTTCTGGACACCGTCAAGCAGGCGGGCTTCAGACCACTCTTCCTTCCCTAGCGTCTTTTCTTTCCTCACCTACCCCCACCACACCCCACCACACTGGGAGCTTTGACCAGGGGGACCTGATTCACATCTGGCTTTGTCACCTTCCAGCTGTGGGACCCGAAGCGAATCACTTGCTATCTCAGAGCCTCTCTTTTTCTGGTCCATAAAACAAGGCAGGAGCCACCCCCGGGGTGGTTGTGTCGACCCCGATTATGTATGATGTGTAGCCGTACAGTGTGTGTGATGTGGTGGGCGTTCATGTGGAGCCACCCCCCTCCAGACCTGCTCCCGAACCTTCAGTCTACATCACCCTCTATCTGTCTGCTCTGTTTCTGTCCCCAAGCATTCTCTACCCAGGGTGGCCCTGGGACCCTCCCCAACTCCTGTTTCCCCCGATTACCCTCAGCCAGGAAGGGGGACTTGGCACAGAGCCAAGAAGTGGTGACGCTTCACCCCGCTACAACGCCCTGTTGTGGTTTCCCACATCAAAAGTTCAGAGCATGTGGTTGGGACAAAGGGCTGTCATGCTCCTTCTGGATGCCAGAGGCTGGAGGGCACCGGCAGGCTGGCAGATACTTCACCACCAGCTCTCTGATCATGAGCCCCACTTTGTAGCATCTGCTAATATCCACCGTCTAAATACCCCCACGGTGGCCGGTTTCAAGCTTACCAGTAAGGCGCCACCCAGCAGAGCCGGGAAGACACGCGCCAAGTTGGCTCTGGGTGATCTGGCTGTCACACACCATGACTGGGTGACCTGGACCCAGAAGCGTGGGATTTCCTGGATATTTCAGTTGTTTACGAAAACAGTAGGAGGAAATACTGTGAATCAGGACTTGCAGAAAACCGAGGCCCTGTGGCCACAGATGTCCCTTCACATCACCCGTATTCTGTGGTATCTCTTCTTTTATTAGTCAGGTGTGTCTTAGCGTTTACCTGGGACCACACAGCCCCAGAGGCCACCACCCACTGCGTCCTGTGGAAACAGTGTCTCCTGGCGCGCCTGTCCACACGCCTCTCTGCCACTGCCACTGTCACGGCCCAAAGCCAGCGTGTCCCCTGCCTGACAACCCCATGATCTCCATGTGGTCTCCCGCATTCTTTCCATGCTCCATGTGGCAGCCAGAACTCTCTTTCTAAAGTTGGGAATCCGTACTTGTCGTTCCCTTCTTTAAGCCCTCAACTGGCTTTCTACTCAAGGGTGAAAAAAAATCCAAACTTCTTACCCGCCTGCTCTGACCCATACCTGCCCATGTGTCTTCCTATGAGACCACTCTCCTCACTCCCTGGGTCGCCCTCCCCCCAGCTCCTAGAAGGTTCCAGGCCCTTTCCCATCTGAGAGTCTGCCTGCATCGCTCTTTCCCTGTCCTCTCAGGTCTCCTATCCATGCCCCCATCTTAGGGAGGCCTTGCCGACCACCCCATTGAATGTGGCATCCCCTTGCCCATTTGGTCTTCGTCCAGCATCCTGGCTGTTTCCAGCAATGTAGCTCTCAAACATTGATACTTACATAATCCTGTATTCTTGTCATTGTATACATTGGTTTTTGTGCCCCAACCAGGTTAAGTTACTTGAGACTGGGAGTCCTATCTGTCTCATTCACTTAGTACCCCCAGCATGTTCTAGAGTGTCTGGAACATCACAGGTGACTTGATGAATTAAGAGATGAGTGATTTTGGATGGGTGGATGGATGGATGAGTAATAGCAGAGGGATGAATGGATGGAAGGAGAGATTGAAATGCATGAAAGCACTTTCCCACCAGGCTATACCATATCTCAGCCAACTCTGAATCCCCAGTGCCTCTGCACAGGGTTTGCATAGAATAGGCATTTGGTACATTTTGGTGGTTGCACGAGCAGATTAATGCAGGGATGAATGGATGAGGTGACCCTTGAGGTAAGTCCTATCATAGCTTCCTTCTCTCTTTGGAATGGTCTCCTTACCCTCTCCCCGCCCCTGGCTCCCACTCCATTACGTGTGACATCTGATGGGGCTTTGTACCCACAGGGGGTGACCTGACCTCAGTGGACCCCATGGTCCTGGAGCAGTATGTGGTGGTGGCAGACTACCAGAAGCAGGAGAGCTCGGAGATCAGCCTCAGCGTGGGGCAGGTGGTGGACATCATCGAGAAGAACGAGTCAGGTAGGGGAGCTAAGCCGTCCCCTCCCTGCCCTACACGTCACCAAGCCCCGAGGACGGGAGATGTTTAGAAACACAGAACCTGCTGCAGCTGATCTGAGCTGGGCGGTGTGCACAGATGCAGCCACCAGCCTCTTAGAAAGCTACCCCTGTCTGATCACAGTGCCCATGTACCCCACTGGGTCACAGTTCCACCAGCATCCTGCGGGGTCAGTGGTTCCCGATTTATTCTGAAGGTCGCATTTCGAGAACCTGTCTTCTCCATTCCACGGGAACTTTGCCTTTGATTACCATGGGAGTCTTCACGAAGGCTCCACCTTCGTGGGCTGTGGGCTCTGGTGGGACGGACACACCCCCTGTCTCTTTGGCCCACCTGTCATCCCTGGCCAGGTCGGGGACACAATGTGGCATGATCTGACACTGAGCCTGAGTTTCCGTTGGAACCCTGCATCTTACAGCTGCTTCTCTCTGACCATCTGTTCTCTCATATGCAACATAGAGAAAGCTACCACTTCAAAGAGCCGTTACATGGATTAAATGAGCTACTACTACCTAGAGTGTGCTGGCACACAGTAGGTACTCAAGGATGTGGGTGTCCTTCCTGCTTTACTTCCTTAGCCACAGAGTAGCCATCAGCACCATCGAAAGAAAAGGGCAAGGAGTAGGGGATGAGCAGTTCCTCTCCAGGAAGAAGTGGCATAAACCCACTGACATTATGGTGGCTAAAATGTGGCATTGCCTAATAATATGGTTAGCGGGCCAGTTTTTGTGACACCCCAATGGCCAGTGAAGGGCCAACAAACAGAGGAAAGGATCTGGATCATGTTACCATAGTCATGAGATCCACATTAGCCAACCAAACACTGTAATTACTCAATATAGCAACTACCATCCCTGCCTCACAGCCAAAGAAAAAAGACTCCCAAGTGACGTGGTCACTCACCCAAGATCTCATGACAGGTTACTGAGCTGGAATTCCAAACCAATTCCAGCTGGCTCCAAGGGCCTGTGACTGTCTAATTCCTGGGAATGAACGTGTGCTCCGCAGGGACTAAGGAAGGCAGCCCCCACCCCTCTGGTTGCCTGCTTGCATGAAGTTGGGCGACTCCATCGCTGAGGAGAGAGTAGAAGCCGGGATGGGGTGTTGAGGCCTGGTATGTCCAGAAGGCGGCAGGGGAAGGGAGGCAGACAGTGAAGTCTTCCAGTGGCCAAAAAACTAGCAGCATTTTTTATTATATTTACTGGCCAAGTAATATGTGGACACATTCTTCTTAAAACATCCATCATAAAGTTAAAATCTGCTTTTTTCCACTAGCTTCATCCTTAGTCCCCTTTCAAAACCCCAAATGGACCTTCTGTCAGTTTACTACGAATCCTTCTTGACAGTCGTATACATGCTCATTTATGTACGTGTGTATACGTGTCTTTGTGCGTGTGTGTATGTGTGAACTGTATGTCTGCATGTGTGCCCATACATACGAACGTAACCATATGCACAACATTTCGCATGTGTTGTTATAACTTTATAGTTTCTTTAACCCCAGTGTTATCATTCTGCACCTTTTGATCATTTTGATCTGCAGCATGCTTTTTAGTCAACATTTAGCTTTTCTTTTTCCCTTAACATCCGCATCCAACTTGATCAACATAAGCCATATTTTTCTCTAGTATGAATAGCGTATCTGTACACACAGGTGTTTCTTCAAGTCAGATAATGAGACATAGAACTCCTGGACCGCAGGTACACATATTTTGAATTTTAAGATCCTGCCAAATCGCCTCCAGACTGCTCTCCCTCTAACAATGCATGAGTTAAAAGCTGAGACTGTGAGGTGAGGACAGCCTAGGAATGAATCCTGGCTCTGTCACTTTCTTTGTGACCTGAGTCTAGTCACTGCCTCTCTCCGAGCCTCGGCCTCCTCATCTGTAGAATGGGGCAGTCATAGTAGGCAGCTCATAGGGCTGTTGTGAGGATCCGGCCAGTCAGGTGTGAAGCACTGAGACAGTCTGGCACACATTACCGTTGTTGTGTTGTGAGTTTCCAGAACCCCCACACAAATACCTATGGATACAACTTCTTAGGAAGACATACAATGTATCTTCTCATTTCTGGTTTCCCACAGACGTACCCACCCCATTCACTCACACACACACACACACACACACACACACACACACACACAAATACCTACGGATACAACTTCTTAGGAAGAT